ACCGGCCCCGGGAACACCGGGTGATCAGGTGAGGGGGAGCAGAGTAATAGCATACACCATACTCATTTGGTTTCAGACAAACCTTACTCCCTATAATAAGAGGGAAACTAAAGTTAAGGTCATCCCTCACAAAGACCGCCTACTTCTTAAGAGCGGTACTATGCGAACGACAAACGGGCTAATTTCCGCGAGACGAAGGGCAAGGCACTGTCTGTATATACCATCTGACTCTATGCTAGGTTGACTGTGTGTGTTATGAATTAGGTAGATCTTCAAGGCACTTTTTATCTGGGCCTGACATGGCCAGGTTGTTAGGATTCTCAACTCACAATCTGCAGGTCGTGGGTTCTATTCCACGTCCAACCAAACATGCTCATCCGTTCAGTGGGGGTGTTATAATGCGAAGGTTAATCCCACTATTCATAGGTAAAAGAGTAGCCCAAGAATTGGCAGCGGGTGTGGATGACTAGCTGCCTTCCCTCCAGACTTTCACTGCTAAATTAAGGATGGCTAGCACAGATAACCCTCGTGTAGCTTTGCACAAACTTCCAAACAAACCAAGCCTTTTATCTGTTTTATACTTTGTGGCTAATATCCTGTTATTTTAGTCTTTATCCAATTTATTGTTTGGTGTTTTTCTCTATCATCTTGGGATCGGTACTACAGAATTTTCTATTTGTTTATTATGCTCTGTAAATGTACCCCTTTGTTGGTATTTTTGTTTTTTGAATGCATTGAAGTCCACATTCATAAGAGATGTTGTAATTGGTGATCTTGCTTTTCACTGGGCCTTATGTACTTTGTTGTTCACTAAGTTTGATCATAATATGTTGTGGCTTCTGAATAACATTGTGACTTTATGCTGTTTGTATATCCTGGATATGTTTTCAGAGCGGCATTTATTACAGGGAATTATGGCTGTGTGTCTGAAACTTTTGTCCTACTTATGTTTTGTGAGAGTAGTGTTGCCTAGTTAGTAGTGCTTTGGATTCATAGTCGAAAGATTGCAAGGCTTGTTCAGGACATGTTTTGTGTCCTGGAGCAAAGCACTTTACCTTAAATGCTTCAAGTCTACCTTTCTGTATATAATCGGTACGAGTGGGTATTTTAAACTGCTGCGATAGATCTGGATCCCATCCAGGAGAGAACATGTTGCCACTCTCATCTGCTTGTGTCAAAGAAAACCCTGTTTGCTTCTCGAGGGAGAGGGCATGAATTAACCTACTTACTTCTTAGTGTTGCTGTTAATCATCCTTATTTTCTTCACCAAGTGTTCTATTGTTAGGGAAGGTTGTAGTGATGAATTTTTCTTCCTCCTCTTTAGCATCTTTGGTGTTACAAATCTTTCTCATTCTGGAAGCAAAACAGTCTATGATGCTCATATTTACACTGTTTGGATAGTCTGACTTGAAGATGTGGTACTTAATTCTATATATGTTCCTACAGATACAGGTAAATATCTTGACTTTTAGTCAGACCAAGAAGTTTTCTTTTTCTCATGTGTGGCTTATATCTCATTAGTATAGTATTAACTGTATGGTCTTCACTAGCATGGAGGGCTATTGCAGATATATCGGTATTACAGGTTCTTACATGTCCATTATGCTTCTGAATTTTTAACTTTTGTTGGTCTTTTTGTTTCTCCAATGGATTGGATTCTACATTCCCAAAATATGTTTTCTCTTCTTTTATGGGTCTTTAGGTGGTTTTAGTGTACACTAATTGCAGTTATAATGGGTTGTTGCTTCTGAATACTGTTCTAGCTTTACAAATACCTTTGACATAAAGAAATATTGCTATATGTCTGTAATCTTCTTTATCATGTGTTCAGGGTATCCGTTGTTAAGGAGAAGTTGTAGTGATGTGTTTCACTAAGCAGACTGTGACACATGTTGTTACACTGTTGGGAACATCCACCTTATTGATAACACTCAATTATCCTAGCATAGAAGTCAACATGCCCTGGATACCCCTCTTTAAAGCATTCAGACAAGTTAATTGATTTAAGTCCTATTCTGGGAAACCATAAGTGAGTTGATAACAACAGCATCTCTATTACATAAACAATTAAATCCCAGCCACTACCATCATATAAATGGTCCCTCGTCAGACTTTCTTAAAGACTGCAGCAGAGTAACAGCTGAAACATAGGATAAGAACTTGTTAATAATTTGAACAGTAAAACAAGTAATTGAGATCTTCTTAACTTTAAATTATACGTGCCAAAATTACTGCATAAAATAAAAAATGATTTTAATATTCAGAATTTATTTATCTTTTTTTTTTTTCAAAAAAGGATGGCCATATTTTGTAGAAGAACCACCTGTTCACAAACCGAAGAAGAAGAGTTATGGAGCAAACTTTGCTTGGAATAGAAACACAAGAGTTTCTACTAAATGATTGTTTATTCTGGAATATATCCCATCATGAGTAAAAACATGAAATACTTTGTAGGTATTTAGAGATATAAAATATTACTGTGTGAGAAAAATGGAAAACTTAAGATATGTTATTTCATCTTTCTTGGAAATAAATACTTAGCTGTAAAGTCTAAAATTAACACATTTAATTATGTGGTAAAAGAGTGTTTTGGAAAGTGATCACTGTTGTGTATAGATAAAATAAAGTCAGTCGTAGGAACATTGAAACCTTTTATGATTGGTTTGATTTGGTTTGAAAGTTCATGAGAGGTAATTATATTATGCAACTCTTTTGTGCAAGGAAAACTCATCTTGCGTCATACACATATTACTATTAAATATAATATTCTTTAGCTAAAGCACTTAAATTCAGCATAGGCACTATCAGACATAATACAATATTTAGTTTCAGTTATTTACAAAGTTTATAAACATGTTTTACAAATTTTATATCTGTATGTATTTAATAAAACTCCTAAGGGAGCATAAATTATTTTACTGAATATAATAACTCAGTGAAAAAACATTGAACTATTTTTTATGTATTTCATGTTTTAACCAAACGAAATTTGCATACATGACAACAGTATAGCACCAAGAACATAGTGGTTTGTACTTTTACACGAGACCGTAGAATGACCATCTGTGGGTGTTCATATAATTGTTCACTGTAAATATAAGGAAGACATATTGCAGTGATATTTGTAAAGTTTTAACTTCAAAGTCATAAATTATAAAAAGTCTGTGAACTCACAATGCTAAAATATGGGATTCAATTCCCCATGGTGGACAACACAGCTGATAGCCCAATGTGGCTTTGCTAAAACAAACAAACGTTAAATTATAAAAATTTCATTTTTAAAAATGTGTTAATTTGTTTGTTTGATTTTTTTTTTAAGAACAACTTTACCTTTTTGCAGTTTGTGAACTTCAAAAATTTTTTTAAAAATGTTCTGATTGAATATTATTTTAAAACTATTACATCTTGTTTATGATAGTATATAAGCATAACATAACTTATAAATAAATAAAAAACTGGGCAACATTTCTACTAGAAGCATTGATGGAATTATAACATGACATTTTCAGTGTAATTAGCTATAACAATGTCATCTAATAAAGAACAGGACAACTTGATTCACACTTACATTAATGACTTTCATTATTCAATTACAAATATGTTTAACATACAATAACAATATTAATGTCAGCTGACTTTGCTGAGTCAATATGAAATTTTAACACTACATGTCCGGCCCATATGCAGAATGTTTAAAAGGGGTTTTCTAATTTTTGAAATCAAAAGCCAACACATATTGTGCAAAGATTTTCACATTCAGCATGTTAATGCTATGTGGGTCTGTGGGCATCCCCCCCCTCCCAGAGAATTTGTAAAATAGATGCTATGAAGTTAAACCTGGAAGCAATTTTGCATGAAATATAGCTTAAACAATTGCATGGCTGTTTACATAAAATGAAAAGTCAACAAATTATCATTCTGTTGTAACATTGCATGGGGAAGCTAGGCTTAAATTAGCATAAATATGTGAAATACTGTACTATCTACGTGCAGATAAATTATTAATTGTGTTAAATTATATTATTAATGTAAACAACTTTGTACAACAATAGTATGTTAGCTATTTCAATCATTGGCTATCATTTACGTACATGTATGCACTACTGAAAAACATGCTAGCATGCTCCATTTTTCTGGGGTGCTTTTCCATAAATAACTTACATACAGTTTCAATGTTGATAGCAGTGTCGTAATGATAATGTATTAAAGCTAGAGCTCTCAGTCTTTATTCAGTTTGTGTATACTTCGGGTGATTATTCAACTGGCGGAGAGCAAATGTCGAACTATGCATGAACATGAACTTAGTGGCAGTGTGGCAAAGAGTTTCAGAAACAGAGATATTTGGTACACAGAAGCACGCTTTGATGAAAGAGAGAGAGAATTATTTAAAGCTCTGGACACAACTGGATACGTTTGACTTGTTTTAATATATTATATATATTATTTAAAACAAGTGGACTGTGTTACTGTTTGTTTATTGTAGAAATTTATCACCAACAAGTCACAGACACCTACTTTAAAGAATCCGGTCTACAAAACCTGACAGAAGCAAGAGGGCTTCTAACTACAAAGTGTCAACAGAAGCCATTGCATGTGACTATTTCAAACCAAAATATGTTAATGCTTCAACAGAAGAATGTAGATAAACGTTAAACGCCATAAGCAGCTCGCTATAACTATTAGGTCATTAAGAAATTGTTGCTTTTTTTAGATGAAAAACCCTAACAACTTGTATATCAAAACAAAACATTTATTAAATGAAATAGTCACTATTCTTATCGATGATGCTTTACCATATTACAGTCAGGTTGTTAATGTCTTGATTAAAGAAATCACTTGGCTTTGAAGCAAAAAACATGCAGATGCTCTCTTTAACACCTTCCACATTTGCATACGTTTTCCCATTAAGATGGTAATCTCATAGTGCCATATCTGGAGAATTTGGTGGGTGTTGGAGAACTTCCCAACTCAACTCCAGGGTTTATTTGAAGGAAATTTTAGAACTGCACAAATCATTGAGGCAGGTGCCATGTCCCAGTGTTTGAGATTCATTCATTCTGATAAGCATTTGTTTTTATATTATATGCTGGAT